TACAATTACTAGCTACCATTTATTTCCTACGAAAGCATCTGACTATTCCCTTGCTTATACGGATTTCGGCCCAATTTAGCCTAACGGCCATAATAAATGGGATCACTACGCAGTATTTCATTGGGGTGGCGAGTATTCGAGGGCGCTACATTCTTCTGAATAAGGATTTGGAAGCAGTTTTGGCCGAAACACGATCCCTGAATCCCAAACGAAGGGGAGTATTTATGACCAGATGTTGCTGCCTTGCCGATCGCTTGGATAAAATTGCTCAATCCCAATCTGAGTTGCAAATTCTCACCGAAAGGTTTTTACGAACCTTCCAAGATCAGGCCGTCTACATGTTCACTCTTCACTATTTAAACTTGTTAGGGAATATTTACGTAATATACTGCTTTACCAAAAACAGGAGTTTGGCAAATGGTGGGCCAGACCCTACAGCAGTTGCTTTATTCACTTTCACAGTTTTGTACCTCATTGATTGCGGGGTAGACTTGTTCTATTCATTTTACCTGGTGGACGCCCACGAAGAGATGGTCCAATTGCTAAGCCAACGAACCCTCTTCCAACCAGGTTTGGATCAAAGATTGGAGTCAGTGGTGAGTTGTTGTCGGCATAATCTATAATAAGTTTTAAGTGTATCTATTTTTTTCCAGATAGATAGCTTTACACTGAGCCTGGCCCAAAATCCTTTAAAGCTTCGATTTCTTGGCTTATTTGAAGTGGATCGATTTACAGCATTTGCTTTATTAAACTCTTTTGTAGCACACACCATTATTTTAATTCAATATGATATTGCACAATTTTAAAAATAACTAATTAAAACCAAAAACATAAACATAAAGCAAAAATTTTTTTTTTGTATGTATGTAATACACCTGATGGACGTCGAAGAAGAGATGGTCCAACTGCTAAGTGAACGGACTCTCCCCCAACCAGGATTGGATCAAAGATTAGAGGCAGTTGTGAGTCGAAATATCTTAAATATAATAATCTTTTGTATACTTATACATTTTCTTGCAGATGATAGCTTCAGCCTGAACCTAGTCCGAAATCCGTTAGAGTTTCGATTTCTTGGCTTAAGTAAACAGATTTACATCATTTTTCTTTCTCAACTCTTTTTTAACCCACGTCATACTTTTAATTCAATAATAAAATAAATTATAACAAATAATTAAATAAAATCAATGCTACTTTAATTATATTTTGTATACCCTTGATTCCTGTCAGAAGTTTGTAACGCAGTGAACTTTTTTTTTAAATATACACGCAAGTAAATCAAAATGTAACATTTTTCTAATACCTCTTTATTAAATAGAAACTATTTGCAAAAGTATAAAAGCTATGTTTTTAATGTTGTCTTTCATTTTTGGTATTTATATTGGTTAAATAGTACTGTATTTATTTAAGCAATGGACTGCTATTAAACATTTTTAAGATACATTTTGTTTTGATGAACTATAACGCTAAACCACTTAAGGGAAATTTTGCCCCTGCTCACATCGAGTGGTAGGCACATTGCATTACAAGTTTGAGGGCATTAGACACTGAAGAGACTTTATACAACAAGACATGACTGAGATCATTATATTTATTACAAAGAGCCAGAAATCCCTTCAAGCTTCAGTTTCTTGGCATATTTAAATTTGATAGATTTGCTGCTTTTGCACTGCTTAATTCCCTTTTAAGCCACACAATTGATATAAAAATTTTTTAAAGAAATTTCAGTATATAATTCTTAATTTAAGAACGATTTTCTTAAATTTAGACTATTTTTTTTTTTTAAAAAAGGAGGAGTTCACCCACCACACACTTTTAAATTAAATTAGTTTAAGATCATGATGAGTAGCAATATTATGGTTGCTGTCAATATAAGCCAATAAGTTATGCGATTCCAATGAAGTGATATTATACTGAAAAGGAAATAATTATAATTAGTCAGACCTATCAGAACTACGGAGCCAGCGAATGAACTTTCCTGGCCGCGGTGGAATATCGTTCAGTATACTGCAATGGTTAACATAGTCCAAATATCTTTTTTCATCTCATATTTTTTCGGTCGCGCTACCGGGCTGTTGAACTTTGAGGTCAATCTTAAAACGGGTCGAATAAAAGTTACGAAAAGAGCTACAATATGTGCGGCCTCCTTGCACATGCTCATCCTCTTCTCAACGATTCACCAGCTGATAAAAACAGATTTTTTCACCTTTTGGTTGAATCATGCTAATGTTTTTCGAGAAACTGTTAATTTATTCGCAGATTACTGTCGGATTATTTGTGCTTCCTTGATTTTGTTCAGTCGTTGGACTCAACGTAGATCCATCATACGTCTCTACAACTCGTTTCGCCGACTTTATCAAAGGAATCCGGAGATAATCCTGTACTGTAAAAGAAGCATCGTTAGAAAGTGTTTCTGTATCAAACTGGCTCAGATAGTGCAAGTTATTGTTGTCGTTTACACACTGCGAAATCAACTATCTATTCCGCTGTGTTTGCGGATTTGGTCCACATTTAGCCTCACGGCTATACTAAATGGGATTACTACGCAGTACTATATTGCCATAGCCAGCATTCGAGGTCGCTACTTACTTTTGAATAGGGATTTGGAAGCGACTGTTGTTGAAACACGATCTCTCAATCCCAACCAAAGAGGAGTATTTATGACCTCTTGTTGCAGGCTTGCTGATCGCTTGGAAAAAATAGCTCAGTCCCAATCTGAATTACAAGGGCTTACCGAATGGCTTTTGAAAACCTACCAAGTTCAAATCGTGAGCACGGTCATATTTTACTATTCAAACATAGTGGGAAATTTTTACATGTTAGTCAGCTGTAAAAGAAACAGGACTTTAACAAACGGTTGCCTAAACGTTGGAGTTGTTGGCCTAACGGTTTTCACAGCTTTTTACTTCATAGATTGTTGGGTAAACTTGCTTAATGCATTTTACTTACTGGACGCTCACGGAGAGATGGTCCAACTGCTAAGTCAACGGACCCTATTTCCACCGGGGTTAGATCAACGGTTAGAAACAGTTGTAAGTTGGAAAGTTTTCCATTAAATAATAATTATACCCTTGAAGAGGGTGTTATAATTTTGCTTCGGCTCTCCGAAGTTAGATTCCGTCATCCCTTTTAATTTAATATATCTTATTTCAGATAGATAGCTTTACACTTAACTTGGCCCGAAATCCATTAAATCTTCGAATTCTTGGCCTGTTTAAAATCGACCGATTTGCTGCATTTGCCTTTTTAAACTCTTTGTTAACTCACACAATAATTTTAATCCAATATGAAATTGAACAGTTTTATAACTATTAAGTAAAGAAATGCTATAATAGGTTTATATAATGAAATTACACACAGAAAAACGTTTGGTTATAAAAAAAAGATTAAGGTTTTCTATAAGAAAACTTTTTTTTTTTATCTTAGTGTAAAGACGTCGTATAAAAAATTATTTATTTATTATAGTTATAAGAAATAGATTTATTTAATTTTACTTTCTATGAATTATTTGTAAGAACAAACAGTAATTAAATAAAAAACTTTGTTCTTAAACTTAGACAGTGTTTTCTCATCTCAGTGTACATTTGTTTAAGATGTGTTGCAGTGACAAGGATGTCAAGTTGTAAAGAGTCAGGGCTAGTACTCAACCCAACAAAAAGTCGTCCAAAACAAAAAACTTCATACGAAAAAAACGTCAAAAAATTTTGTTTCATATGAAGTTTTTTGTCTTTGGACACTATAGTAGTGAATTTTCCTTGTTGAACTGAGACCCATATACATACAATACATTAAAAAAAAAATTTTTTTAATATATAAAATAAAAAATAAAAATTTAAATAATAAAATATATTTTAATTTTTTTTTTTTTTATTTTTTTTTTTAATAATTTTATTTTTTAAAATTTTATTTTTAAATTATTTATTTTTTTTTTTATTTTTTTTAAATTTTTTTTTTGTTTTTTTTTTTTTTTTATTTTTTTTTTTTTTTATTTTAATTTTTTTTTTTTTTTTTTTTTTTTTTTTTTTTTTAGGGAAAATTTTTTTTTTTTTTTTTTTTTTTTTTTTTTTTTAAAAAAAATTTTTTTAAAAAAAATATTTTTTTTTTAATTTTATAGTGTGTTTTTTTTTTTTTGTGTTTTTTTTTTTTTTTTGTGTTTTAGTGAAAAGGATGTTAAGTTGTAAAGAGTTATATTGCCAATATTTTAGGTAATTCCAGATGAAATTATATCACTCTTAAAAGGAAACAATCAGTCACGCGTGTCAGAACTTCATAGTCAGTGAACTGACCTTCAGCATTTAAAAGTTCAGTTTACTGCAATGGATAGCCTAGTCAAGTGGTGTCTGTACTGTATTTCATATTATTTCGGACGCGCCATCGGGCTTTTAAACTTTGAGGTCCATCTTAAAACGAGTCGAATAAAAGTTACCAATTGCTTGCAATTTAATAATAATTTGAAAGTTTGTATAATTTCTTCCAGATAGATAGATTCACATTGAACCTGGCCCGGAATCCATTAGAGCTCCGAATTCTTGGATTATTCAAGATTGACAGATTTTCATCATATGCCTTATTTAGCTCTCTTGTAATTCACATTTTACTTTTAATCCAATATGAAATGGAACATTCATTTATCTACTAAATATGAAACATACTAAATTTTAGACGTCTTATTCGAATCTCTTTTCTAAAAAAAACATAAAATTGGAATCCAGTTTGCCTTAAGCCCACTATTATTTCGATTACATCTACAAAGATTGGCAAGATTGAAAATAAAAACCAATCCTACACAAAAAAAAAAAACTTAGTAAAATCAACTGTAATAATTGTCAAATAGGCCCCAAACAGCAATTCTACTAAGTAAATAGTCATTTCACAACAACAAAATACACACAATTAGCAAAGACACAAACCCAAAGCAAAAACAAAATACACGTAACTATTTTAATAGTTACGTAACTATCTTTGCTGGTCAATTTTACCAAGCAAATTTTTTTGTGTGTAACTCTGGGATATAGTACATTTTTAAAGACGGTTTTTAGAAAAATACAAATCAATTTCAGAAAAATCTAGATAGATCCTGCAAGGGATGGCGCAAAGGAATTTCACAGTAGCAAGTCGTAGTACTTGGATAGCCCCCGCGGAAATTACAACACCTCGGGGATAATTCTCTCCGGGTATAGCAGGTGCATCAGAAGCTCCTTGGTGACCTCGACTTTGATGTGGGAGCATCCATAGCCATTACAATCCAGTTCATGCTCCTCGTCGTCCAGCACATAGTAAACATCGCTGGCCAAGTCCGATGAAAGATCCTGACCTGGGTGAAGGACCTTAAGAGCATCACGCCGGAACACTTGGATGGCCAGAACTACTTTTTGACTGGATCTCAAGCAGGAGTCCAACCGCTCGTCCCCGGGAATCGTTGCCTGCGCACAGAAAGCCTTGTCCATCTGGAGGAGCAACCTTCGGAAGATGAAGCTGGCGAAGGTCTTTCGCTGCCCCTCGTTTAACTGCCTCCTTTGCAAGGAACTCGGCTGCAGGACGGCAAATCCCACGTAGAGCATCAGCAGCAACTGGGTGGAAATGGACAGGGCCAAGACAAAAAGGAGGTACTCCTCATCGCAGCGCCTTGGGTTCGGTGGTGTTCTGCAGTCCAATAATGGCGGCACGCCCTCTGTTACGAAACCGGGCTGCAAGGTGGCCACCAACACTATCACCGGGTTCAAGAGTCACGGGGTCAAATTTGGAATTTCGATGTTGCCGTCTTTTGTTCTGTCTGCGTACTAACGAACAGTTCAAACTGGACACCCATGGCCTGCTCTTTGTTAAACCATTCATCAGATTCAACCTAAATTTTGTTTTTCACTCAGTAAAGTTAACCTGAAGTTAAATTGTTTAGAAAGACATATTCATTTCCTCAATGTGATGTTAATGTTACAAAATACAAATCTTTGCAGAGACTGTTATTACAAGATTCAGTGAGATATTCGGACCGACAATCCTGAACAAGAAGACAAGAAGAGAACGATAGAAGTTTACAGTCAGATAAATCTTTACATGATATTCAGAAACTGATCTTTTCCAGGCAGCAATTAATCAAATTAACTTGACATTGAGAAATTGGACCAAAATATATTAAAATATGAACTAAGTGGAGTCTAAAACCACAGATCTTCGATCTAATCGTATTTTAATCCTTTTAATCGGGTAACCAAAATGTAGATCCGTTCTTAGACGAGTAGTATTTCCCCTGGGGAGGACATTTAAAGAAAGTAAGAGTGTGACTGAGAACATCGACTAATTTCTTCCCTGACATGCCATTCACAATCCACTATGGTTATCTTTATGGGCCTGTCAATATCTTTATGACGCGCCCACATCTATTCACCACCACCCACGCCCTCCCGCCGAGCGATATACATTTGGACAAGGACACATTTCGGGGGAAAGCGAAAGTATCCTTTGACACAATTTCCGCCAGCCTCAAAATCAGGTCGTCCTGTCTCTGTCTCCAACGCCATATCGCTCTCTTTCCAACTGTGTGTGTGTGCTCAGGCTTGTAATATTTGTGAACGAATCATTGCACTATGGGGAATTTGACCACTTTTTTTGGCCAAAACCCATTTTTTTAAAGTCGTTAAACTAAAATTGTGTTTTCTAGAATACTTTAACAGAAGACCAATCTTCAATGTTACGTTTCAGGAATTTCGATAGAGGCCCCCTCTGCTAACTTACAGCTGTTAGATCAGCTGCTGTATGTTGCATTTTCACGCCTCAGAAATTTGACGCAATGCTGAGACTATTTAATTGCTAAAAATAAGAGTCTTAAAGCAATTTAAGTGGAGTTTTTATAATTAATTCAAGGGAGGGTAGTGTGCACTAAGTATTTGTGTGATTAAACAATCTAAATTAATCGTGGTTTTCTTGTAATCGATTATTTTTGTGACCGGTCTAACATGAATATTTTTAAAGAAAACCAATTTTTAAATAGAGATACAAAGCGAGTCCAGCGGAGTCCATCCATCAAACCTTAGGGAATTAAAGAGTAAGGAATTCTCTTTAAAATTAATGTAGTCAGAAAATTCACTTTTTCGATTCTTGGAGCAATTTAGTTTTTAGATCATAACCTCAAATTTTGCAATTGCCCCTTTGTTTGCACTGTGGAAGAAAGATATCAATAGACATACATTTGAAATGTCTTCTAAAGTAAGGCAAAAACACTTATCGCTACCATTTGACAATAAAAGCGGACTTAGGAGGTTGTAAAAAAAAAAAAAGCTAATACTGTATCAAAAAATGAAAGAAATGGCATTAAACTCGAGAATTTTGGTTCTATGAAACTAAAAGAAATATTCTTCCGATTTTAACACAATTTTCTGTGTGGTTTTAATACTGTATTAAAACAGTACTTATCAAGTTTTATGCATTTATCTCTAAAAATAGCAAAGTTGATCTGATCATTCCTATGGCAGCTATATGATATAGTTGTCTGATCCAAAAGATATTCATGCAGAATATGCGTTGTGATAAACAATAACGATTGCTAAAGTTTTACTTTGATATCTTTAAAATTGATGGAGTTATTAATATTGGCCAAAAAAAGTGGTCAAATTCCCCATAGTGCATTGATGTGTGCGGCGAGACACACACACAAAACACATATGCGTTCAGCTGCTCACTGACTCATAAGCTCACCCACACCCACACCTGCCCATCCAGATTCGAACCGAAATATGCGCGCTCCATTACAACAGAACCCCCATACCGTCGAGAAGACCCCCTGCCGATGCGATTGTACGGCTCTGATATTATTGAAATGCCATTTTGATTGGCTTTGATGTGTGTGGATGGGCGAGTAACGATTTGATGTTGCTAAATGTTTTATGCAGATGCCCCGATACCAAACCATACCATAGCATATCGTACATATGTAGGTCCTGTGATGTGATTAAGCGATAAGTAGTCAGCCATGCATCATTCTGGCCAGAGATATTAGTTTGTTCTCCCGGTGATTGCACTCCACGCTAATTTGATTGAATGGCCTCCGAATGGTTCTGCATAAAAGAGTTCGTTTGGGAGATTAAATGGGTTGGAATGCGGATCGGATCCCCCATGGCCTCTCGCTTCCGAGTTCCTATCCAATTATACACTTATGGCCATTTGTCAGTGGAATGTGTCAACAGTGCCGCGGCATTGTGTGTGTGGCTGGGGCTGCGAAATAAGAGCCGAAACCCACACCGAGCATCCAAAAGGAAAACCCAAGATTGACAGACAGACTGCCTGGGAAAACAGGAAGGACTCGGGGAGGGAATCGTAGCCGCAACCGAATAACCGAGTCATATCACAGACGTGCAACTGAGCAGCACTTGATGATGAAGAATGTGAGCATCCTTGGCAGAGACTGCACATGGCACTTAAGGCACTGGGGAAAAAATAAGGTAGACCTATACTCTCAGTATGCCAAGACAATAGGTAAATAACATAAGTTAAACAGCCTTGTGTGGGACTGACAATCGTTATAAAAAAACATACCCATTCTAAAATACAAAACCCAAAAAAACACACATCTTCTGCACAAAAACTTTTTATAAAAAAATATATGATTAATATTAAAGATTTCTATATTCAGAATGAAAAAGGTAAATCCTTTTTGTGTTGGCAAGAACATTTAAGAAACAAAAGTAAATATTTTTTAAAACATTTTGCAAAGCAATTTATATTTATGTTAAAGGGATCTTAAGAATTCGCTATTAAATTAAAGGTTAGAATTGCTTATATCAAAGTGGGCAATCAAATAAGGTTTTAAGTTTATATATGGTTTAGTTTAGAATGTAAATCTATTAGGACTAGTTAGCTATCTTTGGAATTAAAAATCTTTTTTTTTTCCAATGTATTCCCACTGCGCGCAAACCTTGTCCCTAGTCAAGAAGCAGTGATGAAATGCAGAAATGCTGTAGCTCATCAGTCTTGGGGAGTAGGAGTCCCGATCCCGCCCATTTGGCCCCCATACCTTCCACGTCCTTCGGCGGAAATCCCCTCTTGATTATAAGTTTGACGCACCGCAGCCTTTAATGCGGATTCCGGCGTAGAGTCGCGACTAGAAGCGGAGAAAGCGAGAAAAAGTTGCAGTCTGCCGACTTCGCAGACTGCTGAGTTGGGTTTCCAATTAGACTCTGGGCGAATCATTTGCATGTTATTGACTAAATTAAGTGCCAGGCTAAAGTTGTAAAAATATGCGAAATTGGCCAGTAGACGAAACACAAAGCAAACTATGCGAAATGAAACGAAATGAAATGAGACCGAGCGAAATGAAATGGAGAGGGCTTTTGGCTCAGTTGGCATTATATCGGATGACAACAGTCCAAATAATTCCACTTTGAACTGTCAAAAAGTGCTCTCCACCTGAGTTGTCCTGCTGAGAATATCCACAGAGCTGAGTTGAGTTCAGTTGAGTCTTTGTTTGGCTGCAAATTGAAATTGAAATTTGCATGTTTGCCACCAGAAATGTTTCAATTATTCGCATGCACAAATGAATATAAAATCGAAACAAGCGGCAGGAGCAGCTGCAAAAACAACGAGAAATCTGTCATATGTCAAACTTTGCCATATTTAATTTCCTCTTTGCGAAATTAGTTTTTCCTCATCCGAAATTTGTGTGCAGCACATATTCGTGTTTGCCGGCTGCTTTTTTTTCCTTCCTTCTCTCTATAAGTCTTTTTTTCGGTCCGCCCCTCACACAGCTGCAATAATTCATGTTCAAAACTACAAATTGAGTCATAAACAACTTTTGATTCCGCATATGGCAGCCATGTCCTCCGGTTTCTGGGGGTTGTGTCTTATTTTTTATACTTTTTCGTTTTTCTGTTTTGCGTTGCATACTTTTTGGGGTGCATTTGGGGATCGGATTTAGAGAGGGGAGCGTGAGTCGTGATCGCGATAGTCGTGACACTGTTAAAAAATTGTATAATTTCAACATGGATAACTTAAAAACTGGTTTAAAAATTAAAAAAAAGTTAAGTTCATAAAAAAAAAACGGAATTTCAACAAACTACTTAACCTTAAAGATATGTTATAAGATATGTTATAACTTATAAGATATATTAAAGATCGATTTCCGAGTACTTAGATGATAAAAGCTTAGATTAAAAAATACTCAAGGGTCTGAGTTCTCGAAAGGGAATATTACCCTGTTTAAACCGATTATAATTGTTTTATGAAGTCCTTATTTGGAGTTTGGTAACCCCGCTCCATTGTTAATACTTATAAACCCTGTTTTAAGTAATGTTCAAACAGTGCTAACCGAATGCCAAGTAAACTTTTCCCTTTTTGTGCACCTCTAGTTGGATTTCCCGGAAGTTTCCATTGTGTTCTAGTTGACCTTTTTAAAAATTCAAGCCCCTGCAGTCGCACTCATTAAAAACAAAAGACAAAATCCTGAATGTGGGCTGTGTGCATATATATAGACGCATAAAACCGCTTAATTCATAATTTAACAGGGCGCACTTTTAGTTGCGGTTAACGGAAAAAACAAAAACCGAAAGTTGAAAAACAATTTAAAAAGGTATGCAAACAATGTTCGTCCGTCTGGATGTCTGGATATGTTTGGGCTTACTTATGCATTTCACTCTTTATGATTTATTTCGAAATACTCTGGCCACACTCAGACACCAGCGGCGCGGCAGAAACCCGAAAACCCAAAAAGCTTTGCCGCTTAATTTCATTAAAAATGTATGAAATAAAGGCACAGCCAGGATGGCGTATTAAAATTTGATAGTCTGCTCCGTTTGCATGTGTGTCTGTTTTTATATATTGTTGTCTGTGTGTGGGTGGATATGCTG